GTGTTGGATCTTATCAAAGGCTTCTTCTGCATCTATTGAGATGATCAAGTGGTTTTTGTCTTTGCTTCTGTTAATGTGGTTTATTATATTTATTGATTTGTGTATGTTGAACCACCCCTGCATTCCTGGGATGAAGCCAACGTGGTCGTGGTGAATGATCTTTTTGATGTACTGTTGGATTCGGTTTGCCATTATTTTATTGAGGATTTCTGTAACAATGTTCATTAAGGAGATTGGCCTATGGTTCTATTTTTGGAGGCGTCTTTGCCTGGTTTTGGGATGAGTGTAATACTGGCTTCATAAAATGTGTTAGGCAGTTTTCCTTCCCTTTTTATTATGTGGAACAGTTTAAGGAGGTTTGGTATTAGTTCTTCTTTAAATTTCTGATAGAATTCAGCAGAGAATCCATCAGGTCCTGGACTTTTCTTTTTAGGGAAATTCTTGATTGCTGCTTCAATTTCATTTTGTGTTATAGATCTATTCAGGTATTAATTTCCTCTTGGTTCAGTTTTGGATGATCATATGTATCTAGAAATCTGTCCATCTTTTTAGATTTTCAAATTTATTTGAATATAGGTTCTCAAAGTAGTCTCTGATGATTTCCTGGACTTCCATGGTGTTTGTTGTTATCTCCCCTTTTGCATTCCTGATTCTACTAATTTGGGTTTTTTCTCTCCTCATTTTAGTCAGGTTTGCCAGGGTCTATCGATCTTGTTTATTTTTTCAAAGAACAACTTTTTGTTTCATTAATTCTTTGTATGGTTTTTTTGGTTTCTATTTCATGATTTCAGCTCTTATTTTTATTATTTCTCTCCTTCTATTTGTTTTGGGATTTGCTTGTTCTTGTTTTCTAGGAGTTTGAGATGTATCATTAGGTCATTGATTTGGGATCTTTCAGTCTTTTTAATATATGCACTCATGGCTATAAACTTTCCTCTCAGGACTGCCTTTGCTGTGTCCCATAGGTTCCGGTAGGTTGTGTTTTCATTTTCATTGACTTCCAGGAACTTTTTAATTTCCTCTTTTATTTCATCAATGACCATTGTTCATTAAGATGAGTTATTAGTTTCCAGCTGTTTGCATGTTTTTTGTCTTTACTTTTGTTGTTGAGTTCTAGTTTTATTGCATTGTGATCAGATAGTATGCATGGTATATTTCTTTTTCTTATATTTGCTGAGGCTTGCTTTGTGCCCTAGGATATGATATATTTTGGAGAAGGTTCCATGGGCTGCTGAGAAGAATGTATATTGTGTAGAGTTGGATGAAATGTTCTGTAGACATCAACTAGGTCCATTTGATCTATTGTATATTTTAGATCTTGGATTTCTTTATTGATTTTTTGTTTGGATGACCTATCTATTGATGATAATGGGGTGTTAAAGTCTCCCACAACCACTGTGTTGGCGTTTTATATTGCTTTTAGGTCTTCAGGGTATGTTTGATGAAATTGGTGTGTTGACATTGGGTGCGTGATGTTGATAATTATTATTTCCTTTTGGTCTATTTCCCCTTTTATTAGTATGGAATGTCCTTCTTTATCTCATTTGATCAATGTAGGTTTGAAGTCTACTTTGTCAGAGATAAGTATTGCTACTCCTGCCTGTTTTCGGGGCCATTGGCTTGGTAAATCTTCTTCCAGCCTTTCATCCTAAGCTATGCTTATTTCTGTCGGTGAGATGGGTCTCTGTAAGCAACAAATTGTTGGATCTTTCCTTTAATCCATTTCGTCAACGGTGCCTTTTGATGGGTGAATTAAGTCGTTAACATTAAGTTAGTACTGATAGGTATGTGGTGATTCCTGTCATTTAGTTGTCTTAGTTGTTTGAAGGTTTGATTGTGTGTACCTAAGTTGAGGTTACTCTCTACTTGTCTTGCTTTTTCTTTTCCTGTGGTTTGGTGCTGCCTGTCTTTTCATGGTTAAGTTGGGTTTCACTTTCTGTGTGCAGAATCCCTTGAAGAATCTTTGTAGTGGTGGCTTTGTGGTCACATTATTTTAGTTTCTGCTTATCATGGAAGACTTTTATTGCTCCATCTATTTTGAATGATAGTTTTGCTGGGTAGAGTATCCTGGGGTTGAAGTTATTTTCATTCAGTGCCGGAAGATCTCACCCCACGCTCTTCTTGCTTTTAATGTTTCTGTTGAGAAGTCTGCTGTGATTTTGATGGGTTTACCTTTGTATGTTTTTGTTTTTTCTCTCTTACAGCTTCAATTTCTTCTTAGTTTCTGAACTTGTTGTTTTAATGATGATATGTCGTGGAGTAGTTCTATTTTGATCTGGTCTGTTGTGTCCTGGAGGGCCTCTTGCATCTGTTGGGAATATCTTTCTCTTAGATTTGGGAAATTTTCTGTATTATTTTGTTGAATATATTATGCATTCCTTTGCTTGCACCTCTCTCTTCTTCGATGCCCATGATTCTCAGTTTGGTCTTTTGATGGAGTCGGTGAGTTCTTGCATTTTCTTTTCACAGGTCTTGAGTTGTTTAAACTAATAGTTCTTCGGTTTTTCCTTTAATTACCTATTTCATTTAAGTTCTGAGATTCTGTCTTCTGTTTGTTCGTTTTGTTTTGCAGTTCTGTTTTGTTCTTTTTTCTGAGGTTTTCCTTATCCTGAGTCTCTTCCTCTTTAATGTTGTCTATTTCTGACCTGAGTTCATTTATCTCTTTATTAATTGTGTTCTTTGTTTCACTTTGGTGTTTATGCAGTGCTTCTGTGGTTTCTTTTATTTCTTCTTGTGCTTTTTCAAATTCTCTATTTTTGTTGTCTTGGAATTTCTTGAGTGTCTCCTGTACATTTTGGTTGACCCTATCCAGTATCATTTCTATAAAATTCTCATTGATTACCTGTACTATTTCTTCTTTTAGATTGTTCTTCTGGGCTTCATTGGGTTCTTTGGCACAATTTTTCTTCATTTTGTTGGAGTCTGGATCTGAGTATCTATTTTCTTCATTTCCCTCTGGTTTCTGTACCAATTTTTTGCTGTGGGGAAACTGTTTCCCTTTTTTTCTGTCTTCCTGTCATTGCCCTTGGTGTTGTTACTGTTCCTGTGCTGTGTACAATTAAGTATTTTCTAGCTTGTAATAATAACAATGGTATATTTAGAATGGAAGGTTGAAGGAGATGGAAAGCAAAGAAGTTAAAGAAAAAGGGAAAAACAAAAATAAACAAGTAGAAAAAACAACAAACAAAACAACAACAAAAGTTTCAATATATAAACAGGGAGAGATAGTGTACTAGTTCAACAGTAAGCTGAAAGGCATTAGAGAAGACAGAGGAGGATTGAAAATAAAAAATAAAAAATAAAAATAAAAAATAAATAAATGAAAAAAAAAATCTCCAAGTTCAAATGCAAAAGTTTCAGTCTTAATAATTTTGTGTTAGTTCCTCACCTCCAATCCTGGAGATGGGTCACAAAGCACAGAAGTAGTCTTCATTGTCTCAAAGGGAAAAAAAAACGAAAAAAAAAAAAAAAAACAAAAAAAACCCACAAGTGTCCCAAGTTCAAATGCAATTACAGTTTCAGTAAGTTTTTCAGCATGCAGGTGTAGTTCGGTTGTTTTCTCATCAACGGTAAGGGAGAAAAAAAGAGTCTGGAGACAGTTCTGTAAAATGGCTAATCTGAGGCTGTGGCTCACCTGCCCACTGCTTCAGCCTGCTGTAGCTGGAGGCGTTATTTTTGCAGATCTCTGGAGTGAGCTTAGCACTCACCTGGCCCCGCAGGCTTTGTTTGCTCAGAGTTCTCCTGTGCGTGAGCCGCTGCTACAAGCTTTCCCCTTTCCAAGCACACTGGGGGAGGTGACACTGCACCAGCTTTCTCAGGCTTGTGTGTTTATTTACAGTTCACGTGGAAAGTGGGTCTTCCCACCCCTCCTGTGGAGTTTTCCTCCCACCGCCGCTTTTACAAGCTTTCCCGCTCCTGGTTGCTGTGCATGTGCTGCCGCTCCTGCCGTCTCCAGCCAGCTTGTTTATTTACACCCCGCTTCGGTGCTCAGGGCACTCCACCCTCTTTGCTATGTGTTTTTTTTGTTATTGCTTATTATTCAGTTTTTTTTTCTTTTTTCCCTGGGTGGGGGTCAGTCTGTCCATGGGGCTGTGCTGATCTGGCCTAGGGTTGTCTGTGGGAGTACCACGTACTGCTTAGCTCACCTTGTGGTCTGCGTCTTCCCAAGCCGTCTGGGCACTGGTGTCTGGCGGGAGTGCGGGAGCCCTCCTGGTTTCTCCTTTTAACATGAAGTGGAGATGCTATGCACAGGCTGGAGGTGTGGAGGAGTCAAAGTTTGCCTCTTCTCAGTGGTTTTTCCTGTTAAGGTGTATCTCCAGCGTCTCTCCAAGATTTTACTTCAGGAGGCACGCTTTCTGCTTCCTCCCTCTAGCTGCCATCTTGGAATCCTGGTGAAGTGGAGATGCTATGCACAGGCTGGAGGTGTGGAGGAGTCAAAGTTTGCCTCTTCTCAGTGGTTTTTCCTGTTAAGGTGTATCTCCAGCGTCTCTCCAAGATTTTACTTCAGGAGGCACGCTTTCTGCTTCCTCCCTCTAGCTGCCATCTTGGAATCCTGGGCTGCACTGTTTACACAAACAGTCTACACACAGTGAGCCAGGTGCACTAGCTGCCATCTTGGAATCCTGGGCTGCACTGTTTACACAAACAGTCTACACACAGTGAGCCAGGTGCACTGAGTACGGGTGGTGGGAAGGCTCCATGTCCACGTTCCCAGACACCGGCCAAAGGATAGCAGCTTAGGCCTGCTGGATTCATGCTTTTCTGCACAGGTATCCTAAGAGATAAAATTTCTTATATTTGAACTACTTTAAATAGGGGTGGGCAGGTGTCCCCATTTCCATAGGCCAAAACACAAGCTATGGGAAAGGGGACCTAGCCTTGGGGAAAGGCTGAATTCCTACTCCAAGTATAGGGTCCTGAGAGGAAGCCAGGTTCCTATAATGGCAGAGTGGGGGTGACCCCCTCAACTTCCTTCTGACTATGTATCTCCTTTTCTCTAGGCTCTGAAGGGCTCCAAGAAGCTGGTGCTGTCTGTGTACTCAGCTGGACGCATCCCTGGGGGCTATGTCACCAACCACATCTACACCTGGGTGGACCCGCAGGGACGCAGCATCTCCCCGCCCTCTGGCCTGCCCCAGCCTCATGGCAGCGCTCTGAGACAGTACGAGGGGGACTGCAGGAGCACGCTGCACCTCCTGCAAGGCGGGGATGAGAAAAAGGTGAGCTGTGGGCTGTAGAGGGAAGTGCCCCCCTGAGTTGCCATGCTCCTTCCTTCCAGAACAGAGGGGCTCCTTAGAGGCTCTACTGCAGGGACTCAGTCCTCTCCTACAAGTCCCTCCTGAAAGATTTTGTCATCTTGTCATCTGTGTCTAACCAGGCTAAGCTGCTGCAGTAGAAGAGCCAAAATACTGTGATTCTCACATGGCAGAATGAAGGAGACAGTCTGGTGTGACTGGGACAGCTCTGCCTCAGAACATCTTCTGGGATCCTGATTCCCACTGTCCACCATTCCCTCGGGTGTGCCCCAAAGGGGAAGGGAGAATGCTCAGGGCTTGTCTTTCTGCATTAGAGATGACTGAACTTGTGCTCTCCAGACCCAGGTGCATAGCAGTGGCAGCTGGCTGGACACCATGTTCCCCAGGGAACCTTTAGCAGTATGGGTCTTGGGTTGTACACAACAGAAACCTGCCCTGCCCTGGTGTGGTAGCCCAGAACTGCAGCTGAGGACTCCACTATTCTGTTCTCTCCTGGTTCCTCTCCTCAAGAGCCCACTTCCAGGGAATGCGCACCTCACTGGCTGGCCGGATGCCTGGGCACTTTGATTGTCAGAACCACCAGGACTCTAGCTTATGGGGGAGGGATGGTCATCTAGGGCACCATGGGTGATGCAACCCAAAAGCAGAGGCATCAAAATGTCCCCTTTACAGCCCTATTCCCCCTAGAATTGGACTGTTTCTTGCCAAAAATGAAAAGCAAAGCACCAAGAAAGATCTGGGCCCACTGGTGTCTTAACCTTCTCTCCAGGTGCTGTTTGCATTGTGCCCTGGGAATGCTCCTGGGACCAAGAGTGTAACTCTTGCCAGCGGCTCAGTTATTTCAGGACCTTGGTCTTCATGCTAGGAGACCACAGAGCCTGGGGCTCCCTGCCAGCGCCTTCCCTAGATGCTTCCTCAGCTTTCCTTTTCCTGTCGATAAGACCATAGCATTTATTTAATGTGATTTGTGCTCTTTGCTCAAACGTTAATATGCAGAACACGGGAGATCACTGTGGCTTCTGGGGGAGGTGGTGACGGGGAGATATTGAGGTAGGGTGCACGTGGCAGCCATCAGGGCCAGGCTGGGGACCTTATGCCCTCCCCACAACCAGGGACGCTTGCACTGTCTGTGGTGTGGGTCCTGTTCTAGGCCTGCTTGCAGAGTTGGACAGAGGTTGCTCCTGACTGAGTTCCCTGCTCAGGGCACCTCCCTGAGTCCTCGCAGCTGCCTGCAGTGTGCTTGTCACCAGCTTATCTACCCACGAGGAATCTGAGACTCAGCATGGCTGCACCTGGGACCTACTGAGGACCTACTGTGTGCCTGACAATATCATAGGAGTTGGAAATAAACCAACTGAGAAGAAAGGCGAGGCCCACTTAGGGAGACATCCTCTGAGGTGGAGGTGGGCAGGGAGGTGATCACCCAGAAGTGAACAACACACTGAAGACTGTGTTGGTCTGTGTTCTCTTCCTGCAACAACATACCCCTGTCTGGGAAATTTATAAAGAATGGAGGTTTGTTCAGCGGTGGCATCTGGTGGGGGGTCTTTGTGCTGCCCAACCACCATGAGGAGACTTCATGTGGTAGACAGCAAGCATGCCAGCTCTGCTCTCTCTTCCGCTACTGCCACCATGGGGTCCCACCCTTGTGACCTCCTCTAATCCTAAGTTCTTCCCAAGGTCTCCCTTCCAAATACCATTTACATTTGAACTTGGGGTTAAGTTTCCAGCCCATGCAATTTGAAGGATATATTCAGACCACAGCAATGGTGAAAATCCATGAAAGGAAATAAAAGCAGGATACCGGCTGGGAGGGATGGGGGAAGGAACTGCCTCCAGGAGGTGGTCAGGGAGATGGTCTCTCTGAGGAAGTGACTTTTGAGAGAACACCCAGAGGGTGTGAAGGAGCTGCCATGTACCATTTTCAGGGCTGAAAGTCTCAGGCAGTAAGAACACGTGTGCAAAAGGCCTGAGGTGGGACTGAGTCCAGTGTCTTCAAGGGCACTGGTGCTGGCACTGCGTGTGCAGCACCTTTTGGGGTGAGATAGATAAGGTGCCCTTGGACATCTTGCAGTAGCTCACAGGAGAATGCAGAAGGCAAGGCTGAGAGTTCCTGGCAGAACCCAGATACCAAAGGAGGCAGGAACTACCCCAGATGATTCTCCAGAGGGGCATTCCTAGATCCCGCTGCTGGGATGTGTTGGAGGGTTGGATGGGTGACGTCTGAGAGGCAGGAAAAGCTCAAATCTTGGCTCTGCCACTTACCAGCTGTGTGACCTTGAACAAGTAACATAGCCTTAGTTCCTCCTCTGTGACTTGGACATAAAGCCCATTTGACCACCCCTGTGTAAGCTCCTGGCAGAGGGGACCTTGGTTCTGACCCCTGGCATGTCCTTAGTGCCTGGCACAGCATAGGAGGTCAGGGAATGACTTAGGTAAAGTGAGGTCACCCTGCACAGGCCCAGTACACATAGAGGCTCAGTCAGTGTTTGCAGCTTTCACTCTGAGTCCTGGAGCCACCACACACCACATGCACACTCCTCTTTGCAAAGTTGTGGGAGAGAGCAAGATGTCTGCCTCCAGAGTGGGCATCTAACTCGTGGCCTGCTGCAGCTGCCCTTATCGTGCCCTTGAGGGCTGGTGCCCACCCCCGCCCTGCAGAGAGGGAAAGATGTCACCTGTCTCTGACACCCCTGCTGCACCCTCCAGAGAAGGGATGCTCAGCCAGGTCTCCAGACACGAGGCTTTGGGGTTCTTACTCGGGCAACTGGGGCCAATGGGCAAAAGACACTTTTTGTCTTGCGTTAGAGGTCAGTGTGGCTCTCTGGTCTTGAGAAGTCTGAGAAACGATAGAGGACTTAGGCTGGTAGATTTCAAATGTTCTGAGTGTTTTGTTTTTGTTTTTTAAGTTAGCAAAATCCATATAGCTCCAAATCTTGGCTCTTTTCAACGTGCAGTGAGTATTGTCAAGTGCATTCATAGTGCTGTGCAACCAACCTCCAAACTCTCTTGGTCCTGCAGCCCTTTAAGTAACGGTGCCTCTCCCAGTCCTGGGACCACCACTCTGCTTCCTGTGTTTGAGCACTGTAGAGATCCTAGATGAGTGCAGTGGTGTCTGTGCTGTGGCTGGCTTGCTTCGCTTAGCATGGTATTCTCAGGGTTCATTCATGTCATGCCATTTGTCAGAGTGTCTTCTTTCCACACCTGAGTACTATTCTACTGTAGGCTGCCCTTGTCAGTGAGCAGCAGTTGCAGGGTACTTCACATTTAGAATGAGCAATAGACTGTGTTTCTGGAGGCTGGAAGTCGGGGGTCATGGTACTGACAGATCAGAGTCTGTGAAGTCTGTTTACTGATTCAGACAACCAGCCCTCTCCTCACTGGGCCTCACCTAGCAGAAGGAGCTGGCCTCTCCGAGACCTCCTTTAAAAGGACACTAATCCCAAATTCCCCAGGCCACACTGCTGCTGAGTGGTGGGGACAGGTGGTGCTCACTTTCTCAGGCCTGTCCCCGCCTCTCTTTGGCCCTGCCTCTCTCTGTCTCCTAGCCCTGGCCCTCAGGGCTGCCTCTGTGCACCCACAGGGGCACTCCCTCAGGTGTGTGGGCAGATGGTGTGGCCTGCCTGCTGCCTGCCCCAGTTATCTTGGGTCAGCGTCTGGGGTCAGAATGATGGCAGGAGTGGTCTTTTGCAAGACCTGATCATTCTCCTCATTGGGGGCTCCTGCTCAACCACGGGGTCTTGGCCCTGTGCCCCCTCTAGCAGGGGCCACAGCTCCTCCATGCTCCTGTGTCTAGCACAAAGGAGGAAGGACCTTGGGCTCAACAGGACAGGCTCCAAGCCTGTTTCCAGAACTTCCTGACCCTGCGACACTGGGCAGGTCATTTAGCCTCGGAGGAGCCACTTCAGCATCCCTCTCTGTGATCTGCAGGTGGTCCTGCTGACTGTGAGATTCAGGGTGCCTCTCATTTCTCTCCCCCCAGACCAGGGCCTGAACCTGTTATAGGTGCTGAAGACACTACCGTGGACAAAGGTGGCTGCCATCAGGGGCTTGAGTTCTGATGTGGGGACAGGTTCTGATAAATGGTGCATGGTATATGGTGGGAGTAAAGCAAGAAGGGATTGGGGCACTAATTGGGCTTTGTTCTGTTTGTTTTTTTGAGACAGTCTCACTTGTAGCCCAGGCTGGCCTTGAACTCAAAATCCTGCCTCTGCCTCCCAAGCGCTGAGATTACAGGTGACCACCATGCCTGGCCAGTAGGGGTTGTTTTAGCACTTGAGCCACTCCACCAGCCAGTGGGGATGGATTTAGAGAAGGTCAGGGAAAGCCTCACTGAGAGGCAATGAAGACAAAGTTCTGAGGACTGTTGGGACATGACTGTGTGTCACATCCCTCTGAGGAGTAGCAGGGAGACCTCTGTGGTGACAGATGAGCAAGACAAAAGACACTGGCTGTCAAACTGAGCCTGGGGATTCTGCTCTGAGGAGAGGGAGCCACGGTGGAGCTTAGAACAGAAGAGAGGCAGGCGCAGGCTGCTGCTGGATGGAAAGTGGACTGCAGGAGCTGGGGCTGAAGTGGTGAGTGCAAGTGTTCTAACCCTCTGCACAACTCTAAAGCATGGTACCAGTTATGAACACTTTGGGCCGCAGATCACAGAAAACCCGCATTACAGGAGTGCATATATGAAGCGTATTTATTGCTCTCTTCAGAAGTGTGGGGCTAGGAAGCCTCAGGTGTGATTGGCCAGGCAGGGAGTCTTTCTTCCTCTTGTAGCCTCTTGCTTCAGGCTTGTTGCTTCATGGCTACAGGATGGCAGCCCCTGCTCCTGCCATCACAGCCTTTCACTACTGTGTCCAAAGCAGAGTGGATGGAGGAGGCTTTTTCTTCTTCTACTTCTCTCTTTTTAGAGTGGAGACTCTTCCTAAGAATCCCCTATCAGACACCCCCAACATATTTCTTGGCCAAAACTGTCTGGGGACATCCTACACCCTGCAGGCAGAGGGGAATGAGATGGTACAGATTGGTATTGTCTCCTGAGCTGCTCCTCTTGATTCCTGGATAGGATCAGGGTCCATGGCAAGGCAGAAAAGGGACAGCTGGTGACTGGGCCACAGGCAGTGCATGCCATAGTTGGGTTGCACAATTCTCATTTTACCAACAGTGAAGCTGGAGCTCAGAGAAGCAGTGGGGCTCCTGGGTGCCCAGCAGTGCCCCGGGGTGCCCAGCAGTGAACTACAGAGCCTGCTTTTGAATTCAGGCCCTTGTGAATCCTGGCTCCATCATTTTATTCCTCAGGGAGGGCCAAGCCTCACTTTCCATCTCTGGAAAGTAGAATGATGACAGAAATGTCGAGGAAGACTAAGGATTCACCAAGGGGCTGCGGGTAGAGTCTGAGCACAGTACTCAGGACACAGGAAATACACACTGTGTGTAGTGGCTCCTTCAGGGACCTATTTTCCTAGTAATATACAAGTGATACTGGTGCTCTGTCCACTGGCCAGGCTGCCTCAATCCCGTTTTCTCTCCTGTACGCGAATTCTCCTGCCAAACGCTGGTTAGATTTCTGGTGAGTGATCAAGGCTGATTGCCCTGTGGACAACAGAACTACATTACAGTTCCTGATAAAGACTCTGATTTAGTCCCATGCAAAGGGTTTACAGGGGGTGATGGGATGTGGAAGGTCTGTTTTCATTCTTAATATTCAAAAGAGGGCCACTGCTAGTCATGTGTTCATTTGCACAAGGTCCTCAGCCCCCTGCCTGTCCAATCCTGTCCTGGACCTGGAAGGACTGGTGGGAAGGGGTCGGGTGAGTCTGACTGCAGGTGGCCCAGTGAGCCAGATGGGGTTGCAGTGTGTAGGTGCTAAGCCAGGCCTGCTGGTCCGTGCTCTGAGGGCACAGCATGTGTGTGCATGGGGAAGGGGTGGTTAGAATCTATCCCCAACCAGCCTTAGGGCTCTCTCAGACTGACGCTTAACTCTCATCCCCCACTGCTGTCTTGAGACACACAACCTCTCAAGGGTATTGCTCCCTCCCCAGGAGTCTTCCTGAACCCTGACTTAGCCTGTTACTATCCTGCCAAGCCCAGGCCTCTCACTTGGCCCACAGCCCCACAGCCTGTTACTATCCTGCCAAGCCCAGGCCTCTCACTTGGCCCACAGCCCCACAGGCTGGCTCAGGCTGCCCTTTCCTCTCCACCCACTCCATCTATGCCCTCGTGTGACTCAGTGACTGTGCCCTGTCCTGTCTCTGGGCCTTAGCACTCACCACTGCCCTGGATCTCCTTCCCAGTTGCCACTGCCGGGTTTCTGATTGTATTTCTGGCAGCTCTGCTGAGTGGGGCTCCCAGGCCTAGGAGCTGAGCCCAGGGTCTGTGGGAAGGAAAGCTGATTTCAAGAGGGTGCTGAGGTGACCAGAAGCTGCCCCACTCCAAAGATATCCTCCTCTCCCTCCAGGAACCTGCAAGCAGAACCTTGTGTGGCAGAGGGAACTTGGCAGAGGTGATTTAGTGAAGGGTCTCCAGATGGGAGGACTGACTAGCCTGGATTAGCCGAGTGGTCCAGTGTCCCCACAGTGTCCTTATAATGGGAGGGAGGGTGGGGGATAAGAGAGTCAGATGCTGGAGCGCAGGGAGACTTATGGGAAGATGCTGCACTGCTGGATGGAGGGTGAAGGTGCGGCCTCACATGCAGCAGCCCCTGGAAGCTGGAAAAGCAAGGAGCCAGATTCTCCCCCTCCCCGCCCACCTCCAGCAGGAAGGCAGCCTTGCTCCCCCTACCCCCTGGCACTTCTGCTTCCAGGATGTGAGGATCACAGCCCTAAGTTGTTTCAGGCACTGTTTATGGCAATTTGCTCCACAGTGGTGCAGAGCCCTGGGGGCCAATGCTGGTGAGGGGACACAGACCTGGCTGAGGGAGGAGTGGGCTGCAGGGCCAGCATAGCAGAGGGCTGACTGTTTCCCTGGCGAGCTTCAGGGTGGTTGGACCTGCAGTTCCTGGACTGACCCCAGGTCAGCTTTCACCACCCCACCAACTGAGCCCTGAGTGGAAGCAGCTCCCAGGGAGGGAGTATCACTGGGTGGGCTTGTTCCCAAGAGGGACTCAGGGATTTCTCAGGTCACTCAGCAAGTCAAAGGCAGAGCTGGGGCAGGACTAGGAGTGTCCTTGTGGGCTCTTCTGGGTGTGGGAGTGGCTCTGCAGCCTGCCACCCCCAAAGGCAAGGCCCCTCCAGACTACTGCTGCCTCCATTCCCTCCTTAGGTGAACCTGGTGCTGGGGGACGACCGCTCCCTGGGCCTTACCATCCGAGGGGGAGCTGAGTATGGCCTTGGTATTTACATCACCGGCGTGGACCCTGGCTCAGAAGCAGAAAGCAGCGGGCTCAAGGTGAGGGACACATGGGCCCCAGCTGTCCTTGTGGGGATGGGGAAACAGGGACCTGTGCGGGGAGCACTTTACAACCAATCTTAATCAGACTTCGGCAGAGCAGTTGGCACCCCATGGGGAGGACTGCTCCTGCTGGGTGCCCTCCCTGGCCACTGGGCCTCTGATTCACTGCTCCTAACAGCACCAGGGTGGCCTCCTACGTGGTGCTGGGCCGTGGGCCAGCCCAGCTCTCCGAGGCTGCTGTTTTGCAAACACTGCTAATGGCCAGTGATGGTCCTGAGTTCAGGCTTATTACAGCACATGGTGAGGGAAGAGGAGAGAAAAAAGCCGTGAGCTATGTTCCGGCTGTGCTGGGCAGCTTCAGGAGTCCGGTCTTGGGCAACCATTAGTTATGGAAATGGCTCTTTTAGCTCAGATTTTAAGAAAGACCAGCTGTGAGCCCAGAATTTGTGATTCATATCATGTGTATCATTTCACTTAGTTGTCATGCTACCCCGTGGGAGTTTCCCATTGGGGAAACTGAGGCATGAATAGATTAAACCAACTTGTCTAAGATCACAAAGCTGGTTCACCACAGAGCAGGATTTGAACCCAGACAGTCTTAATTTCAACACTGAAGGTCTTACTGGCTCCACTTAGCACCCATGCTAAAGAGGTGGAGACTGCTCACAGGACACCGGAGCAGAACACAGAGTATAGGGATAAGTGACAGCATGTGTTTGGGCTAAAGCTGGACGTCAGGATGCTACGGCAGCAGTGATGTGGAGTGGTGGCCATGGGCACGGGTGGCATCTGAGTGGGTGGGTTAAGATGCTGGAGAGGAAGGCATCTCATGTCCGAGCTTCACCACAGGTAGCTTTGGACGATTAGCCTGCTCACAAGGCAGGAGGAATGACTCCGGAGACAGGAGACAAGAATGCGTCTGCAAAGAAGGGCCTCAGGCGCCCCACCGATACTTGATTCTCCACATGAATGAGGAGAAAAGGGGCCCCTGAGCCCAGTGTGGCAGACAGGCTGAGGTGGTAGAGAGGAGGCAGGAAATGTGGCACAGTGGGAGCCGCTCTGGGCTTGCAGTCAGGAGGGTTGGATTCACACCCCAGTTTGTTGCTTTTGCCATCATAGCCATGTGACCTTGGAGTGTCCTCTACCTGCCTGAGCTTCCCTTTCCTGTATAATAATTATAAGTAACATCCCTGTCTCTCAGGATTATTGAAAAGATAAAACGCAGAACAAACTAATGTCACTATTAACTATGGTAGTAAACTTTGCTATGAACTGAGTGCTTGTGTCCTCCAAAATTCATATAAATCTCAAACCCAAAGTGATGCTATTAAGGGTGGGGGCTCAGGGAGGTGATTCGGTCATGAGGGTAGAGCCCTCGTGAATGGGATTAGAGCCACGTGAGGACAGCGAGAAGGTACCATCTGTGATCTAGAAAGAGGCCTCACCAGATGCCGAATCTGCTGGTACCTTGATCTTGGACTTCCCAGCCTCCAGACTGTGTAAATGTGTAAATGTCTGTTTTACTCTCTGGGACTTTATTATAGCAGCCCAGATGGACTAAGGCAAACATCATCATCATCCTGTTTTTATTCTTGTTACTGCCGTTAACACACTAAACTGGGGAGCTGTCCCTTCCCAAGTACCCCTCCTCCAAGCGCTTATACTGTTACATCATTTAAAGTGTACAGTGCCCCCAAAAGCAGGTTCTTTTGTGAGCCTCACATTACAGGCTCAGGAGCTGACACCCAGAGCTGCACAGCTCACAAGAGGCAAAGCTGGGCTGTCTGTCAAAGAATCAGGAGTCAAGGTCCAGCATGTGCTCATAGCTGGGCCAGCCGGGCAGGTAATGGGTACTCTGCAAACGTTTGTGGTTGACCCTCGTTGGTTTTGAAGTGCACAGGCCAGGGTGCTCTCTCTGTTTTCAGCAGGTGGGGTTGGTGCCATTCTGGGACTCCAAGAGGCCATTCTCAAGGTATTCTGTGCACAGTTTTGTTTAATAGAATCATTATTTTGGAATAATTGTAGATTTAGCAAAAAGTTGGAGAGTTCCACATATCATTCACCCAGCTTAGCCTAATAGGAACGCCATATGTATCTTCGCACATCTGTCATGACTGAGAAACTAACCTTGGTGCAGTGCTGTTCAGCACACTGTATGTTTTGTTCAGAGCACACTAATGTCCCTTTTCTGTCCTAAAGTCCATTCCAGCCCAGTACGTCCATGGCATTTAGTCTGTGTGCAGTTTGTTTGGAAATGGCTCTGGCTATATTGTCTAGACCAGCCTCAAACTCTTGGGCTCATGTGATCCTCCTACCTCAGCCTTCTGAGTGTTTGTGATTGCAAGCGTGCACCACCATACTTGGCTGTTTGCTATTTATTTCCCCTAAAATTAAAACAAAGATCAGAGGAGGTTTTTAAACAGAGTAAAGATTTTTTTTTTTTTTGGTGGTACTGGGGTTTGAACTCAGGGCCTCATGCTTGCTAAGCAGGCACTCTACCACTTGAGCCACTCTGTCAGCTTTTTTTTTTTTTATACTGAAGGAGGAAACTGGGAAGAAGGAAAATGGGGGTAAAGAAAGAGAGAGAGATGAAGCTGGGCTGAGGCTATTTCTCAGAATACCTGCTATGTGTTCTATGCCACCTACAGACCCTGCTACAGGTAGGCCACAGAGTTGGCTGAGTTGCCCAGCAGTCAGCTGACAGAGGGAAGCAGGTCAGTGATGCCTATAAGAGGAAACAGACCAGCTGTACTGAGAAGCCAGTATACCTCCTCTTGGGCCCTCGGAGCCATTTTCCTCTGATCCTTCTTCTAGAGGATATTTTGTAATGTCATAAACAATGTTTCCAATGACAAGAAGGCTATAAACCTGTTCATACACTTATTGTATGTACAGGTTCATAGCCTTCTTTGATGAGTGAATTCTGATTGAATTATGTAAAGAGAAGGGAGAAAGTGTGCGAGAAATACTGCATGTTGGGTCTTAGTCCAAGAGCGTTGAGCACCTCTTATTACCTTTTATTATCATCATGTCATCCCTTTGTTTAGCAGTTACTGTGTCAGGTAATATGGTCTCTTACCTAATTTTTTGCAACAGTGTATGAAAAAGGAACCCTCTTGTCCCCATTTCACAAGTGACAGATTGAGGCACAATGTTAAGCAGCTTGTCCAAAGTCAGCCAGCCAAGAAGTGCTAGAGCCAGGATTTGAACTCACGTCAGCACCTTTAGTCTATGTTCTTATCCACCTCATTACAACACCTCCCAGGGAAAACATGGATGTAACTGTCCCCAGTTTATAGCTGAAGAAACTGGGGATCATAGAATGAAACTGATTTGCCCAGGTCAAAGTCTTTTCTAATGTCAGAGCTGGAATTTGAAGTCGATCCTGGCAGAGCCTGGGGTTGCTCTGTGAAGAGGAGGACAGGCACCCACTGACCCTGTATGAACTCGGGCACATCCTTCCTTTTTTGGGCCTCAGGCTCCCTCCTTGCACAGCCAGCAGAAGCCAGGGACACCTGCGGGTTCCCGTATTCACTAAGAGATGTCCAAACTGGTTAGTGACTGGCTGGCCCTCTTTTGTGTGGAAGGAAGGAATTGGACTTTCCGTCCAGGCTGGGGTTATCCATAGTTACCCCCTTCCTTCTTTCTACTAAATCAACGAGAGGATTCTGGTGACTCCTCTGTGTCTGACACTGTGCTCTGCAGCTTCTGACTGGGCAAGAGTGATACATCTCTGATCTCCTGGAGTTTGAGTCGTAGTGGGAAGACAAGGGTAACAAATGGATTGCACGACTGTTTATTTTGTTACAATTGTGATAAATACCAAAATGAAAAATTGCATGGAACCATGTGAGTGTGTGACAGTAGAGACAAGACCTGGCTTTGGATAACTGGGAAGGCTTCCTGGAGGAAGAAACATTTCAGTTGAAAATTAAAAGAGAACAGGAGCCTGGTATAGTGGCTGGGGGAGGCTAATTAAGTGGAAGAGGAAAGGTGGTGACGGAGATCTGTGATTGTTTACATGAAGGGCGCCCATGGTCTGTTATTAAGTGGATCACAGGCTGCAAACCCGCCTAACAGCATCTCATTTGTGTGTATATGCATGCAAAAATATGCATAGAGGACCACATAGGAAGGACTCCCACCAAATGTCCACAACGGTTATCTGGACGGGGTAGGTTATGAGCGATTTCACTTTGGTCTTTACATCCTTATGCAGCGTCTGATGAAATAGTTATTACTTTTATAATCCGGAAACAGCAATGACAAAACGATTTCCATTTAGAAGCAGGGCAGAGGAAAAACATTCCGTAGAAGTTTTCCAGTCTTCTGAGTTTGCCTCAGTTGCCAAAGGGGAGGGTTTTATTTGCTCATAAAATGCCCACCTTCAGTAAGTCCTCCTTGTCCTCTGTCCCCTCTGCAGTAAAGCATTTTACAGACCCTGTTGCAATTTTCCTTTCCCCTCCCAAGGCCCCTCGGCTGTGCCGACACCTGCCTACACTCACTCGGGCATCCAGGACTGATTAATTCTGTTTATTGCAGTGCACTTTGCGTGGAATTAGGCATATTGAAATGGAATAATGGGCTTGGCTGTGTGGGTGGCAGAGCCAGAACAGGCTTTATTTGTAAATAGGGCTTCTCGCTGCTGTACAGAGCTGTCCTGGGGGGAAAATGCTACCTTCTGCCTGGCTTCCAGCTGCTTGGCCCACTCAGCTCCCAAGGCCCAGTTTGAGTCCAGGGGAGGGAGCAGGACGACCCTGCCCTAAGTGGAGAAGCAAGGAGGAGGTCAGGCCTGCTTCCAGCATTTTCCCTGGAGGTGGTCTGGGGTAGCTTGGAACTCTCCCACCTTCCCAGCAGGGGCTCACGCCACCTTCACAGTTTATCTTTGGACTTCTCTTATTCCTTTGCACCTGCCCTCCAGCTTCAAATCCCACCAAAAGAATGGCCCATTAAATCCTCTTTGTTCCATTCAGGATAGCTGAGATTGACAGGCCTCT